AATCCCGGACGAGCCCTGAAATTTAAGGTAGTAGGGACTTGGCCTGCCCCCTAACACCATGCCTCTATGGCTGTTAATTGCTCCTGATGTATGAAATGACAATAAAGAGTGATATTTGAATGTGCATATCAATAGTAATTATTTCACTTTCATATATTTGTTACCCTTAGAGCAACAAAGCCCACCTATGAGCGGGAGAAGGTGCTAATGCATGAGCGTGTTTTCTGAAGTGTCTCTACTTTATGTCTAACTTGGAGGGGTTCCACAGTCTGTTCACTCTCATTCTCATAAACTCAGGGATGTTCCTCAGGTAAACTGTAGAGGAATCATGTTGTCAGTATAGCTACTGGTTGTGTATTCATTCTTTACATACAGCATTATCTGTGGGCATCGTTCTCTGTCCCTGTACAGTTTTAATTTAAAGTGTTAATACTGTCAACTATTTGCGTTGTCAATTCTGTGTTATGAACAATCATACAGTAAAATGATCAGTTTAGAGCATGTTCTGTTGCTCAGCTTGAGTGCTGCAATGATGGATATTTTGAGTAGTTTTAATGGGATTTGAAAGCAAAATAATGATAATGTATTTAAAGTTTCTAGCTGGACGTATGAATGAGTATTTCAGGCCTGAAAACGCATGAAAAACTGAACATTTGTGAATTTTAACATTCCATCTATCATTTTAAATGTGGGGAAAAAACTTGAATATTTCAAAAAGTATGAAAAGTATCAAACATCTAAATAGAAACAACAATATCCTAACTGATCTCAATAGATGTTTGAATGAAGTTTCACAGTTCTTCCAGTATTCACACCCAATATTTTGTTAAGTTTGCACTATATTGAGTTAGGATTTAATTGTATGAACAATGGATGGTCTATTTTCAGATATATCCACCTACTTTGCTGCTTTTGTGTTCTCTGACACTAGAAACCAAAATAAGAAGAAAATCACCATCTCTTCCATTCGTCACATCTTGGACTGTAAGATAATGCAGGTCGCATTTAGGACTCCTGTGAACCTAAGAGAGAGGTTTTCTTTTTTACGAGGGGCACTTGAAAGCACCATGTCTTTGAGTGTCGACAGCAGCGCTGTTTCACTGACCTCCTGCTCACACATCCGTAATGGCACTCAACAAACCCAGCGAACAAAGGACAGTCATGTGCAGTGTGCATAAAGTGAGACATGAGGGGAAAGACTTCAAGAAATTGTGTTTAATCATCGGAGCTTCTGTCAAACAACGTGCAAGAAGCAAAACTAGACAAACGGCTTTCTGCGCCATCTGTCGTGTACTGTGGGAAACAGGTGACCTATGATCTGCTATAATTATCAGCTGTGGCTACAAAATACTTTAATGGGAGACTATCCCTGCCAATAAAAGACAAAAAAAGAAAAAGAAAAAGCTAGGAATTATGTGTATATATTTAAAAAGTTCTTACAGTGAGTCACAATTATGTGTTTTACTTAATGCCTAATAGACCTTTCTGCTGAGGGATATTTGACACATTATGATAGGAAAAGCACAGGTATTACTAACTTATTTTTTAATTTAGGTCTCTAGATCCAGGGTCCTGATGTTGTATATGTTGGCTCACTGGGAAGAGACATTATTAATGTTATGCTGCATCTTCATTGTATGTAAAGACAAACTGTGAAAAAGCTGTTAATCTCATAATTGTGACTTAAGTAAAGATAGTAAGAAAGTAAAGAAACTAATCTAAAGAGTTTAAGTAAGTAATTTTATATATATATATTCATTCTTAATTCTTTTGCTATTTTATTTAAATTTTCACTTATTTTATTGTTTGCATTGTTTTTATTTTATTTGTCTTATTGGGCTTTGGACAACACTTTGTTATCAGTTATTTTGATAAGTGCTACATAAATTAATATGTCAGATGAGCACATGGGAACCCTTGCCAATTGGTTTTTAAAAAACCCAAATTCTGAAATAGCCCACTTCACAAGAGATATAGATCACAATCTTGACTCTCTTGGCAGGAATGTGCTTCCATATTTTCCAGGCTCACAGCTCAATAAATTGGGCAGGACACAGAAGTTCTGGGTAAAAAAAAAGAAGAAAGAAAGAAAACCAGTAGGCTGAACTTATCGTAACCCACAGAAACAGAATGAAGCAGTGCAGGTTATTGCAGTTTTGAACTGCACTGAGCCTGAAATTACAGACTTGCATTGATTTTAAATGGAAAATGAAGGTCGTTCGTGCAGTTAAAGCCGGCCGGAGCTCGTGCCAGTTAAGGAAGATCCAATGAAAATGACAGATGGCTATTAATTACACTGGACATTATGGGCAGTCACTATCTAATTAGACTCATTGAGCAGGGGGGAATCACAGCAATAGATATCACGCGCAGGTAATTTTTATTATACAGTCGATACCTTTCTTTAAGCGTATTCACATAGCGTTTTATATGCTTTTCTTTGATTGTTATGACTGCAGGCTGCAATTTACTTCATAAATTGCGGAAGGTTTCAAAGATAGACAATTATAATTATCGAGTGTAAACTGTAGAGTAGTTTATATAATGTGGACTAAACTGCTGCTCATATGCAGACTTCTGAAACCCAGAAATAAGGTTGGCCTACTCCCTGTTCAAGTCTGGACAGGCAGAAAGTACACCCATAATGCTGCACTGTCACACACAATACTGTCCTAATGTTTTGTTATTGGCAAATTATTAACTACACTTTGCCTGAAAGCTCTTGGAGCTTGTATCCATATTCATAAAACCCAGATAGTCCATCTGAATTTCTTGTCTTTTCTGCTGCAACCTGACAGCCAATGTGTAATAATTGTGGGATTTTTTTTAACGTTTTAGGGGGTAACCAGCACAATGAGCTGTAGTTTTCTCTGTTTCATTTATTAGAAGCTTGATCTGGCAGAAGAAGGCTGATTTTATGTGAATTATCCCACAGATGTACAAGATAAAGACCTATAAATGTACAAAAGGTTGCCCTTGCAATACCACTGCTTAACCACCAGATGGCACTCTGTTATAACTAAACATAACCTGAGAGGTGTGCAAGACATTTTCTCTTTGATTAAAATACCTGATTCTGTCTCATTTTTTTTACTTGTTCGTTGAAGGCTGAATCAGGCATGATTAACTTGTCAGATAAGCCGCCATGTTGGGCTGTTGTCATTTAATGCTCGCTTTCCAGACATGTTGATGGCACTTTTGGAGTAATCTTGTGCAAAGTAGGCTGCAATCCACAATCACCCTGAAGTGATTTTTGATGTTTCCTTGCTCTGCAGCAAGATAAACAAGCCTAAAAGCTTCAATTAGCCCTTAAAAGGCCTATGTGCAAGCTAAACTATATTACGCACGGATGATTCATAACATCCTGCATTAACTTTGTCAGTTATAATCCATCACAAGGTAATAGTCTTAAATAAATCTCATAGTAATTGAGATGAATCCCTCATTTCAATGACAAGTCTGGTTTTTAAGACCCAATTATCACTTTGAGTTCCCTGGCCCAGCGGATGTGCAGGGTTCGGGCTCTGAGAGGAGGAGAGGGGGCAGCAAGTTGGCTGTTTCAGCACGGAGGAGAGGGTGGAGAGATGGACTCGGTCCAACGAGGGATGGATATCTTCCTGGGCTGTGCTGCAACGGAGGGCAGGTAGATTTATGACAAACGCACACAATCTTAATTTGTGCTCAGCCCGATAATGCATCTCAAGGCCAGAATAGTTCTGCTCAGTGTTTCTTAACTGGATGTTTCTTTAATTATATGTCAGAGGCCATAAAACTCAGGAGGAGATTTTCCCACAAAGCACTGTTTTATGTCTCGGTCATTACTGTAAATTACAAGCAACAAGAAAAGAGACTTATGGAAGGAAAATGCAAAAAAGAAAAGTGGGTTTTATTCATTTCCATATGGTATTTTTTTTCTCACCCTGTTGGTATACTCATCATTTCAAGTTTGCTTTGATCTGAAAGCGAACTTCAGGGCGCTCACCAGGGAAGAGATGGTTCTCTCTAGCGACCATGTGTGAATAACATGAGGCCTCCATTGATCACACAAAGGGAAAGAAAAAACAAACCTGTACACATACTGAAGAAATGAATAATAGAAGAGTAGTTGTAAACATATACATATTCACAAATCCATAATCATATAATACTTTCCTCCAAATCTAGTCCAGCAATATAAGCCATATACACACTTCAGATGGCGTGTGCACACTCACGGTATGGATATCGGACATGACGGTTATTACCAGTAATAATAATCATTGGAGAAATCACAAAAACTGGAGTTCTGATGACCTCGACGTGAAAATAGACATGGCTATACAGAAAAGCTCCTCCACCTCTGCAGCCCTTGGCACACCACAAAGTGGCTTTAGAGTCCTACAGTCTGTCTCTGTCTGGTCTGTCTGTTATATTGCCTTTTTTTTTTTTTTTTTTTTGTAAATGATGCAAACTTTAATCTTTGGTGCAAAAATAAAACTGTTGTTTCATGTTTAGATTGCACACAGAGCAGCTGCCACTGCTTTGTCATTTACTCTTGCATGATATTTCCTGCAAAATCCAACTGTAGCGCTGTTCTCTTCTGAAGTATACTGACTGAATTGATTCAACATTTAAATTACTTAAAAGAAACAAGGATTTAAAAAAAAAAAAAAGAAGGCTTCTACCCCGCTTCATCCACTTTTTTCTTGCACCCCTTTTCCCTCAGTCTGTGGGTGATTAATTTCCTCCACCCACCGCGCTTGGCCACACACACGCTCTCACACAACCAAAACACAGTAACATCCAGACAGGTCAGTGCATCATTCTGCTTTCCATTCCTCTCTCTCTTTTTTTTTTTTCTCTTTTGTCTCAAGTCTTTAGCTCCCAAGCCATTTCTGTGGCGTCGAGTCCATCGATGCAGGGACAGAGAAGCCTTTCGCCCGCTTCAGCTCAGCTCGAACCCGGCGGAGGACTCGATGGCGTACAACAGCTTGTTCCTCATCAGGTTCTGGTCGCAGAACTCCGGGAGCTTGAGCAGGTTCATGCAGGTGCTGGCGGTGGGCAGGCGCTCCAGGTCGGTGCCACCGTTGTGGATGCAGAAGACCGGGTAAAGCTCCTGTGTGCATACATAAGCTGTTAATAGGCGCCTCACGAGTTGGCTGCAGTTGCAGAGATATTGGAACGTGGTGAGGCATTTAGAGACAAGGCAAAAAAAATTAAAAAAACGAGACGTGAATCAAGTCGTGTTGATGATCGCAATGTCCAAAGCAATCCCGATTAAGCAATAAATGTCAAATTCCACAAGGGGATAAATGTTAAAAGAGAGACATTAAGCGTTAAGCTAATACAGTAGAAGTATAAATTTAGGAAATCAGGTTAGTGGTTGAAAGGTACTGAGTGGGAAACTGGCCCGCAGGTTGACCCTTGGATGAGGCACAGGAGGAATGGTCATTTCATGTTGTCTATCTGGCATTTTTTTAAATCAAGCCTCCTTGTGATGAGGCCACCTCATCTGCAGACTGTGACACTGACCGTTTCCATCACAAGCCGGGCCGGCGAATAAGCTCCTCCGCCTTGATTTCATGCTGCTATTTAAAGTTAGCGTATATGGTCCAGTGGCCATACTCGCCCGATTAAATGGCTCTTCGGGGGCTTAGCCGTAATGACCCCATTTTTCTGACAATTACCGTATTAAACTATCGTTGCTTATTGAGAAAGTGCCATTACCACGGCTATCATTTTGGAAAAAAAGAGAGTTTCCATCATCTTTTTTAAATGGCTTCTCCTGACAGAGCTATTTCTCCTCTAATGAATCCTGGGCCGTTTCACGACAGCTAATTAAGGCTTAGCTGGCTCAGGCTGAGGGCCGGGTCAGGGGCCGCTCCCCCCACGAATTACCGCCCTTTCCGGCCCGGGGAAGAGACGAAAGACGAGGAGGAGGGGGCATCTACGCACCGGCCAAAGTCAAATTGATTAAATGAGGAGGGAAGACAACTCACAAACCTTAAGAGGAGGTACTGCGAAGGATTTTAAGGAGAGTTTTGTTCCCTCACTCAACTGCAGAACTGCAATAAGGTTTTCTTAACTAATGACAGCCATAAAGAATACTAAAACCAATCATATGATGATTACAGCTGCTGGTTAGATGAAGTAAGACATAAAAACTCTTTAATGGCCTCCAGCAACACTTGCTTTTTTCCCCCCACAAATCAAGTCAGTAAGAAAGTGAAACGGCTTCCAATTAGGAAATCATTTTAAAAATAGGTTAGCAATAATGATTCAGCACTGCTGAAACAATGTTTCACGAGGGGGGGGATATAGTTTCCATGTTTGTTCATTTAACTGGAAATTACTGCTTTGTGCCATGTCACGCAGAAGGCAAACGTTCAAAAGTTCAACCGGCTACCAAGTTCTGAATGGCAATATTTGTCCAGCCAGGATCTCCGACCAAGCCCACACATAAGGGCTGCAGAAGGAGTTCTTCAACAGAGGAAGGTCATGAACTATAAAACAACAGCAGAGCAGACGTGGAGATAAGACCTCCCCACGCTGGCCCGGTCTTATCGCCGCCTAATTTGAAAATAATAATTTTGAGGGCTGTTATCAGTCTAGGAATTTTCATTACAAGCCCATTAAGAGGGAACACACCCTTCTGTTGAGCTTGGAACACCTGCCAATAATGAAGAATACAGTCTGCAGAGTAAGTGTAGGGAGAAGGAAAGAAAGTTAAAGTCTGGTAACCGCCCCCCACACACACACACACACCTTGAAGCCCAGCAGTGGAGGCCTGGAGCAGCTGGTGACAAACTTCAGCAGCTTGCGCTTTTCCTCGTCTGTGAAGCCTTCAACCACCTCCCAAAAGATCTGGATGACTGGGTGAGTGGCTGAGTACCCGCCTAAAGGAGATGAAGATGGAGAAAATGATATTATCTAACTTACAGGCATACATACATTACCCTCACTACATCATTGGAGGTGTGGTTGAGGTGTTTCAACTCCTACCCGAGTAGTTTGTGAACTTCTTCAGGTCATCAAGACAAATTGGCACATGAGCTCCAGAGATCAGCACCTATTAAAAAGGTAGAAAAACACACATTTTAAGTGTCTGCGAGTTAGAAATATTCTGCAGGATTGACAGCTTTACTTCATGTGCAGCGTACCTGGATCTCCTGCTGGTCAAACATGCGCAGCCACTCCAGGTTGACCACATTGGCCAGGCCCTGTCTGAAGGCCAGGCAGTGAGGCCTGATCTGCTTGTTCAGTCTGTAGTCAGCCACCAAATGGATGTAGGCTATCCGGTTGGCTGTGGTCACGGGAATGTCTTTGCCTCCGAGCTTCAGCTCAACCACCTGGGTCGAAAAGGCACAATGCATTGACAAGTTTTCTACAGTTTTAGCTCCAGTATTTTTTTGACAATGTTTCAATTGTCTTAGTTCTGACAGAAACTGAGTAATATTACTGTTAGGTAGCCATACTGCATACTTAACTATGCATATCACTCAGATGTTTTGGATGCCAGATGACCAACAAACAATGCAAGTGCCAGGTGGATTTAATTCAATCACAGAAAGGTAATTAAAATGTTTTCCAACAGCACTCTGATTAAAGGTATGGCTCAATGTGAGTGTGTGTGTGGTTAAGTGCATTTCAGTGTTTCTAAATATAGCACATCCAATGAACATCTGGTCCAATACAATTTGGCCTCAAGTTCTCTTTTCATTAGCTATAGAGCAGTTAGCACTTGATAGGATGTGCTCATCTCTGTTCATAAAGCCGGGTCTATGATGACATCATAGCAGCTACATGGGGACAAATTATAATGCTCATCTTTTTCCAATGCAGTTTTCCTGCGATTGGCATGTGTGATCTTGTGTTTTGAGAACGACTACAACTGTGATTTAGGTTATGATCCGATTCACTTTTCACGTCCCCTTTGTTTTATGTTGACCACCTCCTATAAATCCCAATACAAAAAGGTGGGGGGAAAAAATCTGACATCACCATTTTTTATTTTTGTTTGAGTTTTTAAAGCCACATTAAGCCGCTTATAGGGGGATAAATAGTTATTGCCTGAATTGCTGATGCATCAGCTGCTAATATTGCTACATTATACAATCGGAAAACCACACACGCCTGATCAAACATTGCCTTTTTTCTTTCTCCAATGAAGTTTCAAGTTTCAATCTAGTATACTCATTACCACAACCACCTTTCTGTACATTCCTACAAGGTGAACGTTTCTGACATATGCCAAACAGCACCACTGCATCAGCAATGACAGTAACAGTAGTCACACATAAAACTGTCATAAAAAACTGACTGACTGAGAGACACTTAGCAGGATATTTGTTTAACAACAGTACAAACTGCGGCCAGAAACTACAATAGACATGAATCAGCACCTCTCTGACGCAGTCTTAACAAAAAGTGATTGATAAGCTTCACAAATGTATTCAGCGCAGCGATATTGAACCAGATTGTATTATAAAGTAAGGTGTTCCTCTTATTTTGTCCATCCCAAATGCTGCATATAGCAGGTAATAATTTTCTGCCTTTTTTTTCTCCCCCACAGTGGATTCTGATTATGTGCTAATGTAAGAGAATTACTGTCCTTATCTTGCTTGCTTTGGCTATCTCACGAGGGCAAATGCAGGGCAGACTGCTCCCGGGTGTGTGCCTAATCTTTCACAAATTGTTTTCCCTATCGTGTTTGCGATGCCCTATTTGTGACCAGGAGGGCTACATTGTAACTCAACCATTTCAGGTGTTGTTTGAGAAGAGCTAATAAGACGCGTTAAGGCCCTGAGCAAACAGGGGCTCCGGGTAGAGTGCAGGTCTGGGTCCAGGTGACTCAGAGTGGTGGCGGCGGCGGCTCGTCTCCGCAGCCTTGAGCTTTGGAGGGGACGTGCTTAAGAGCAGCGAGGTGCTTCTGTCAGGCGTGTTCTGAGATAATTTCTGGGGGAAAGGCAGGTGGAACGGTCAACAGAGCTGCTGTGTTCCCTGCGCAGCAGCAGAGCTTAGGGCGACAGTGGCGACGTGCTTTATCTCTCTCAGAGCTGAAAAGTGGAACATCATGAGGGAAATGAATTATTAACGCCACAAAGAGGAACCAAACAGGAGGAAGGAAAGACGGCTGAATGAGAGTTACTGACCAGGTTAGCTATAGAGATGGAAAAAAAAAAAAAAGGAACATGTGAATCATTTATCCGACTCCATCCCACCCGTCCCAAAGCCCAATTCACCTGAGCCTCTCCCAGATCGTTGTTGACCACAGTGAAGTTGAGGCCCAGCTCCTCCACGTCACCCTCGTAGCTCTTTAGGAAGAGAAGGTTGCGGTACATCTCCGGGTCCAATGATGCCAGGTGGTGGATGTCCACATCTGCACTGGTTCCCAGAAGTTTGGACAGGAAGAAACTGGCAAAGGGCAACTCCACCAGCATGTTCTCATACAGCGCCTGCAGAGAAATGTTATGGCTGTTAAGTGGAGGACGACTGCAGGGCAAGGATACAAGTTCTTTCTTGTAAATTCCCCCACAAACATCAGTCAATCAGTACAAATGAGAAAATGCTCTGCGCATTAAAACACAGGGATTGTTTATTGCTTGGGTGTCACTGAATAAAACATGATGATTAGATAACCCGAGATAACTAAATGCACTGCAGCCTGCATCAAGTAGCAAGCATAACATTACTAAGTACATATCCAAAAATCTGATTACAACATACAATACACAACATCAAATTTGCCTACTACTCTTATATCAAAGAATCAAGTGATAAGATCTCGTCACATCAGAGTGAGCGAGAGCAAAACACAGAACACAATCTATCTAAAAACACACAGGCTTCTGTTTCACCCGCCTCAAACTTTATAAATGCCAATTCTCACCTTGACCTCAAATGCCATTAAGAACCACAGCCGGGCAGGTGACTCATAAAACCCAAAGCTAATGTACTGGAATAGTCCGAAAAAGAGCCTGTTGGAGGCATTAAAATATACAGGTCTTTATAAATGATAGCGCTAAAAACCCTGACCGCATCAGCTAAATGGATTATAAATCTAGAGGATTTCCATAATGCATGCATCTTAAACACACACGCACGCATAAATCAGGGCTATTTTCTAAACACAGGTTAATTGCCCAACTTCAAACATTGTCTATTTTTTATGCAAAATAATCCACTTAGTATTTCTCTCGTGGCCGGTGCTCGTTTCAGACCATATGCGCCGTGTGGCCCCTTGAAACCTATCAATAACACTTATGCCGGGAAGAGGCAGCAATAAGTATATGGAAAAAACCTGTAGCCTTATTTTTTCAATGCCACTTACTTTATTTATGAGTGTTTATTGCCAGAAATTGTGCCAAAATGACTTGGGCTGGAAAGAATTAATTATTATGGCCCAGGCCTTTTAATATAAGTGAGTGCAGTGGCAACGCAATTAAAGCAGATCGCGGCACCATCAGGTGGAATAAATGCCAGCAACATTGCAGGTGCATTCTGTTAGCTGCCAAATACATTCCTTAATTTACAACATTAAGAATCAATAAAATTATAATGCCTTTCAAACGCATCTCTATCAATCAGGGGCGCCAACCTCACACACCTCTAAAGGGAACTATCCGTCGCTGGAGATCAGGGAGAGGAGACTGATCAGGATTCTCGCGGGCAAGGCGGGAGGAAGAGGATGAAAACTTTCCTCACCCATTACAGAGTGGAGAGGCCACTGCTGATGAGGTTGGAGGTTTTGTACTAATGAGAGACGAATGAGGCACAAAGAAAAACCTCCTTACAGATCTTACTACATAATGAGGAATGGGATTTTGACAAAAGCATGTCAGCAAATGCTCCCACCGAGATTAAAGTAACATTTTGGTCTTAAGTCTGGAACCACAAAAGCAAAGAAACCTGTTTCCACGTTTCACCATTTGTGGCTTAAATCTTTCTGCTTGTCAGCTGGGTGGACAAGTGAGGAAGAGGGATGATGACCGGCCTCTATTCTGATGTTCAATCCCATTTCAGTGAGTACCCTAGACAAGCCACTCCTGCCTGTAATACATCACCTCCACAACAATGGCACGCCTCGGACATTAATTAACAATATTAATCTCCCGTGTCCTTTGAGCCGCAATGTGCACTGTGCACATTGCGGCAAGCGGTGATGCAATCCCAATCTATATAAACGGTTGCCTTTTATCCAGGCAATAACGGCACTAAACAAATATCAATACACCTCTCAAATGGCCACTCAAACGTCCATTTTTATGGAGAAAGACGAACTTAAGGTAGGGTTAATTGAAAGTCAAATTCAAATTAATTTCCCCCCGACTAATTGCCTGAACCATTAGCTATTGAGAGCACAATATCGAGGGAGTGGGGGGCGGAGAGCTTGTAGCTGCTGATTGATCACTTGCAAAGAATATAGCGAAGAAGAAGAAGAAGGAGAGCAGGAGGAGGAGGAGTTACGAGGCTCTGATAAGTGGACCGGACCATCTCGGGCCGAGCAAGAAGAGAAGAGACCTGGATGTTCCTGACTGTAAAACAGATCAAAATGCTATTACCACATGCTTTGAACGCTTATTTATGTCCTGTCTGTGTGGGCTCGCTGATTTAGTGCCAGCCAAATGCAATCACTACACAAACAAGAGGTAGGAATCATCGGCTAATGGAAGCCCTAATTGAGAGGCGACCGCTTGTCATGAGGTAATTCTTCTCCGGGTTAAGATGATAGTCCCCCCCCCCCAGTGAGGAAGGCATCTTGATAAACAATCACTACCACATGCATTAAGGATGATTTAGAAACATTAGGCTCTAATAAATAGTGCCATCAGAGGAAGGAAGGGGACAGAAAAACAATGCCGTCAACAGATTATGCACAGGGCTAATTAACAAAACTAAAGCTTGCACGGGTGCCAGGTTCAAGTTCTCACCCCAGCCCTAATATCTTTTCAAAAACAAAAGGATGGTAATTTCTCTAAACACTGTCAGTTCCTAGAACAACAACAAAAATAACCTCTAAATTTACATATACAGCAAGTGCCGCCTTGACACTGACTGCTATTGATCCACTGCCATTGAAATTGAGGTATTGACCATCAAATCAAAGCAGTCTGTGACTAAATCTTACTTATTTTACCGACAGCTTTCAAAATCTTCAGACATTCCTCCTATTTTTAGGGATTTCAAGAGTTTTAAAAAAAGACATAATATCTAACATTCGTCATCATTATTAGATTTTACATAGGAGGCTCACCTTTCCGAGGATCCTGCCGAGAAAGTAGTAATGCCTCGTAAAGGAGTCTCCAACCAGCATCTCTGCGGCGGGGTTGGGATACAGCAGGCCCTCATTGGTCGTCTTGAAAAAGCCCTGGTTGGGATTGAAGCCCGACTTGAGCAGCTCATTGAGGAACTCGCGAAAGATGCCGCCACCGTCAATGCCTGCCTCGTCGAGACCGTGAGCGTTCAGCAGATGGACTCTAATCCTTTTCTTCAGGTCCGGTTCTAACGTAAGGACACAGCATGAGGAGGAATTTATGAAGGTACAAAAAAAAAAAAAAAAAGAAACGAGATAAAGAAAACATTGTCTAATAAAGTTAATGGTCACAATAAACTGTGACTTTGTCTTTCCTCTGATAAATGTCAGTAATTACTCGGTCATTTTACAGCAATTTCCAGCAGGGGAAAGGAGTCCAACAGTCAAAGCTGATGGTGTCTTCAATGTCTAATAACTGATGGTTACATTGCCCACTCTGGGAAGGTTTTAATCCCACAGTCATCCACAAATTTCACAGGACTTGCACATAACTTCAAGTTCATATTCATTTTTAACAATAAATCAGATCCACTTGACACCTTAAAGCTACTCACATGGGTATCATCCCTAAAATGAAATTATTGAGCAAAAGTCAGAAACAACATGTTAATGAGAAACACATCAGTCCTTGTGATAATCAAAAACACACATTTTGTCACACAATCGTTCTGTAGCTTTTTAACTACAGTTTAACAAATTGCTATTGCTGCCCTTTTAAAGTAGGAGGCTAAATCTCCTGTAAATCCCTGTGAAATATAACCTTAGGCTTTATCCACAGACAGCTCATTTCTAACACTTCATTTATTGATGATCTGGAAAAACTACTACCCTACTACACGGTACATATGATAGTATAATATATAACTTGTACTGCAGTGCCGTTTTATTTTATGTCCAGCGTATTCCCTCTTAGTCACATCATTTCCCAGTATATGCAATCATACAACTGATCTCATTTTACCAACTTTTTTATAATATAAAATCATAATGATATCAAAATCTGGGCAATTACTGGGATTATTTTATTTTAGTTTTGCTTAACATTTTAGCTAAACACACAACCTTTACAATGTGTTGTAGTAACAAAAGAAAACTGACTGAATATACTATGGATGGTGCTTTTTTTTGTGAGACCTAACATAAGTAGTTTTAACAGCATTACAGTATTTTTTTCTACTTTATTTTGATTTAACCAAGACATCCACTTGAGTTTGAGAATCTATCTTGCAAGTGAGATTTGGCTCAGACTGCAGCTCATAAACCGTTGTAAATAAACCAACAATTAAATGCAAAAAACACCACTAAAACATACAATAAAACAATGAGTTAAAGCACATGACGCATTCCTAACAGACAGGATGAAACACGTGGCAGGAGAAGCAGTGAGCCTTTAAAAACACAAGACGAGAATTCAAAAAGTATGTTACAAAAGCTTTCGAATCTTTGTAGAAGGAATTTTTATAAAGCTGGTCCAATACAATGACTTCTAACCTTCACATTGCTTTTTCCAAATTGATCAAGGTTAAATTTGTGAATAATTCTGTGGAACATTTTATTTTTTACTAACACTTCATCAGTGTTATCCAGTTGATGATTGATTGATTCAATACCGCTGTATTTTTCAACTCTATTGTATTAACTAATTCAGGGAGAGTTCACTTACAAGGTTTCACCCTCTTCTCCATTACTTATTCTTTAATGCTTGGACTAGCTGTGTTAGCTGAAAAAACATTAATTGAAAAGATAACCTGCAAGCCCAATGACCTGACGTTGCCGTAAATAGAGAAAACTGATGAAAAATGTCAAAATGTAATTCGAAATCTAGTGTATCATGTTGTTTTTCTCAATGAACATATTTTGCAAGAAAGCACTTTCTTGACCTGCAGAATATTCAAATCAAATTGTATAAAAAGGTCATCTTTCAGAATAATTAATGTACAGTGATAAATCAAGGCAGCTATAACTTATAGACACATAAATGATATAGATCATGTCTTCAGCCCAGGTCGCCTACTACTCTTTTTAATCAGATTGCCCCCACCGAAGTGCCCTTTCAAATTCAAACACAAAAGAGGTGACTTAAAATAATTGATTCTGCTTTTATGCGATCCATTATAATAATCGGAACCACAATTATGCTTTACCGAAATTCAATACTCTGCACAAGGAGAGAGCTAACCTTCATCTTTAATGCTAACCGGAAGCTTGATCCTCAATATTAAGATTTTATAGAGCATCACAGAGAGTTTCAGTAACAGTGTCAACATTTACTACAACTACACATCTTGAAAATTAACAAGGGGAATAACAGAGCGACTACAGCCCATTTTCCAAACAACAGTGTGCTGGTCTCACATATACGTATTTAACACAACAAATAATGAACATGTAAATATGTGATGTAAGCCATACCGTTTTCTGGAGAGAGTTTATCATAGGCATCTTCATAGATGTAGTTGCGCCTGATGGTGACATTGATACCATCAGGGAATGGCCCGTCCCCCTGCACGTCCCGTTTGTCAGCATAGATTAACCTCTGGAAGATCTACAGGACAGGTGTAAAGCCCAGTGGCAGGGTCAGCGACAAATCCTTTTAGTTGTAAAATGTTTAAATCCGAGTATAGATTCTACTTTTTATCATTCATCCTTTGTCTTTGGCCTTTTTTAAATTTTTTTGCAGATCGTAGTTCTTTATTGGTAGTTCAGAGACTGTTGATTTAAATAAAAGGTAAAATAATGGCGTCTGATAAAGTGTCTGGGGCATAATTCAGACAGAAAAACTAAAATGACAGGGACATCATCTGTAAGCTCTAGCAGCTGATATTAAAATACTACGCTAAAATGAAGGATGTACACATCAGTTGGATGTTTGCCCAACATCCTGTTGCTAATCCTGACAGAACTGATCAGTTACCCCATTTGCCTCCCTAATCTATAAATAGCACCCACAACAATACTTCATAATACTAATAAAATTATATAGATTGTATCAATACACTATCCAGGATTCAGTCACACTCTGTGTGAAGCATCACATTATATCAACAGGCTTTTTTAAAGAAGGGAAGAATCACACAGTGTCATTATGTACTACTACTGTAGTAAAAACTGGATGTTACATGTATAAAAGCATGCATTTTAGCATATACAGAATCTCGATTGTACACATATATATATAATTTATAGCACCCTGATTCTGACGGCAGTAACAGAATTCTTCAGAGAACCCTGCAATACTCCTTACAGCACACAATGTTTTTTGTGTGGGACAATGTGCAGTACCTTGACTCGCTCCTCGAAGGGAACCACAAAAGGGAGCTCTGTGAGGATGGCCAGATGTCTCTCTTCAGACACAGACAGCTGCGGAGGCTCTAAACCAACTGCAGAAAGACAGACAAAATTCAGCATGTTAAGAATGTTTCCTGAACAATCAGTCAGTCTCCTCTCCTGGTGTTTTGCTCCAAAAATAATTTTAGTATTTTACGTTATTTTTTAACAATTATCTGAAGATTTGTTAATGTACAAGTTATGAAGCTGTGAATTCAAGCTGAAAAGAAAAACAAGTTCATAAAACAGTGAAAACGAAATCTGCAAGCATCTCAAACTCATCAAGAATAGCAGTCTAATAAATATTTGGATTATGGAAATTATGCAAACATAAAACATTCCTATCTTATAATGGTTCTATCATCAATAAAATGTTGACTTAATAGGAAAATCTTGACTTCTGGACCTTCATTTTAATTAAGTGACATTTTAGCTTCCTAGAAAGATTCTTTTCTCCTCTTCCACAGGGGTTTAAAGGTCAGGGTCAAGTACAGGTTAACAGAACTGAATCGGACAGGGATTAAGAGCCTTACTCAGGGAAACTTTAGCTGAAGGAATACTTTCCAACAACAGGTGTCCTCTGCGTGTAACACTCATCTAACAGTACCATTACCTTCCTCTCTGCTGCACTCTGTAAGTAAGACCTAGCCCACTGTTTACAGGCCAGCCATTAAAGACATTTCCATCCTACACCCTTTTAATTACACCCTTTTAATTAACCCAACTGTGAGCTGCCCATCCAGCTGCCGGGCTTTATCCATTAAGCTGATGTTTATTTTGTATTAAACTCAGGGTTTAGACTGTTTAGCCCACAAAAAAAATTGCCACAATAGCTAAACCGCTCTTCACCCTCCTCGCTTTGCGCCCACTGCAGCTCAATTATTCTGCTCAATTAGTCAATCTGATCTGCATTTTCCCATCAGGTTTCCATCTTTGAGGAGAAATATGGCCTCGGAGTGGTCAATACGTTGCTCATTTATCAGCCATGGGCCTGTCCATTTAAGGAAATGAGAAAAGGCCAGACAAACACATGGACCAGATGTGGCTGAGTTCATCAGGTACTTTCACACTAATTGAATTTATCCCATACAGCCTCTGAGTGGGATTAGGTAGTTCATACACACATAGTTATCAGCTTGTTTTCACACCATACTTCACAGAAACCTGGGATGGTTCAAAGTGAGCCAGATGAAGCCTGCGTCAGTGCATTTTCCTCTGAGTGCTTAATTGAGTCAACCAAGAGAAAATGTAGTAATATATCTTTGTTAAAATGGGAAAGGTTAATGACTTTTCTGAGGTTTTTTCACTGTCCCTGTTAAGTGCTGTGAAAGAAATCTTTATATTATGAGGCATTTATTTACCAGCTAAGAAAGTAAATGATTCCTTGCTTAGGGAAAATCCTTTTCTAGTCTTTCACCGAAGGACAGTTCAATTCGCAGCCTCCTTCCCTCCATCTACTATAGATAGAAACTAGGCAGACGACTCCCATCTCTACTTATGGGAAATAATATCAATGCACAGCTCCACAGAATATGGGAAACAAACACGGGGAAGGTGACTTTGGGCAGCAATTAGGATGATTTCCTGGGCCATGTATCAAGCTGACACTAGCATTACTGTATAGGATACGTATAATTTGTATTCATTGCCAATAGAATAGCAATGTGCTCTACGGCGTTTCAGATGACAGTCTTGGAGTTGTTCTAGCCAATCACAAATATTTCATAGACTTTTCAAAGACACAGATAATTGTGGGATAAATGTCAAACGATTTAAATGTTTTTTCAGGTATATTTATGTTCATAGTTTGCACAAAAACATACAAATATTTATTTTCAAATAACTGGGCTACTCAAGGCCGACATACTCATAAGTTAATATAGTTTTTCAGGTCTTACTTTGTAGATAAAAGAAAAACAATGAACAGATTGAACTACCATCAAGTGTTGACTGAAGTGGTCCAATGCGGCCCATCCTTCGTGTTCTCCACACATGTCTTGCAGACGGGACATACAACTGGGTGACCTGGAGAGAAAAGGTAATGAAAAAGTTGAAGTTCCTGCCAGTGCCTATTGGTCTAGCTTAAAAACAAAAGATGACTAATGACACCTTTTAAAAGCACAAAGACATTTGTGTAACCAGGAAGTTTCTGACTTCTTTGTGTCTTACACTTGATAATGCAGTAAACACACTTAGTTGATGGCTGTACCTGATTTAAGTATAACTCACTATATGCATGTACTGGGGCAGGAACACTTCAGTATCAAACTAATTCAGTGATAGTTGTTAGTATATTCAATGTTATACAGCAAGAAGAGAAATTTAATAGTGAATTCAGCAAACTTGTAACAACAATGTAAAACGAGGCTCATGTTGCTGCCAGTTTAACTCAGTGTATCCATTGCAACATTATACTTCATGTTTCTTGTTTATCTGTTAACACAAGTAAAACATTTTTATGTGACATTTTCCAAAATACTTTTTTAAAGAGAATCTTTTATTGCTGTTCAAGCTCACATCCAATACATTAAGTCAGATAGTATTGTGTATTTGGTGCAAAGTTAGGCTATCAAGTGCAAGAGACAGGAGTCATTTTAGGTTTTTTTTTGTCTTAGATTCATAAATGAATAACAAAATAAATAGTTTTTTAATTTTCCGATTTTGGATTCTACATTGAATATGTTTGGATTGCAAATTATCATTACTACTTAATTAAATGGTAGAGCTAATGAAGCACACATAATAAGTTGCCATGTGGATGTCTAACATACCTCCTCCCTCAATTAAACAGTTGTTTACCTCTCTTTAATCTCAGTTTTAATCCTACCTAGGATTTCATCTTGTTTTTTTAGGGGAAAAAAAAAGAGAAAAAGCCATAATTTAATGAATATTCACTGGCTTTAACCCCTGTGACAGACTCGTAGTAGAAAGCTTTGTGAGTACAGATCCAGATTATCAGGTGTTTTATTCATGGACATTTTATTTCACAGTGAGGCTAAAATCTGATATAATATCACATCCAACAATGAACAAATACAAAATCTAAACAGCTGTGGCGACAATCAAGTACCTTATCTGCTCGGATGTTGACCTCCTCAGAGAGCCAGTGACCTGCTGGACAGAAGGGTCGTCTAATGTCGCGAGCTTTCACCATCTTCACCAAGTTAGTGATGACCTGGGTAGTAGATCAAACATACAGACAGGCACATCCATACATTAACATCTCTAATCAGATAATCCACTTCATTGTAAGATAAAGAAACGTACATTCAAGTACGGAATGAACACAACAAATGATAATGAGGTTTTTCTGTGTGTATGCTGTTCAACAGGATAAGGTGCCTTCGCTTAGAGGGGAAAAAAAAAAAAGCAATTTGAGAATTCAGCCATTAGTGCGCCATTTATGGGGAGTATAAAAGAAAAACGACCTGTGCCGTCCCTCAATGTCCAGTCTTGTTAATTACTGACGAGGTCTGCTGACATCAGCCATCGGATGGAGAATGTTAAAGGCGCGGCAGCATTGGTTCACAGCACTGCACGAACCAGCATGGCTTACGATGATATTTCACTTTGTTGTGGTTTTGTCACATGCCCAGAGCCCTCTCAGGTGACAATCGACATACGCTACGCTGACAACCTGCACTGAAGTGGTCACTTTTCTTTAGTACTCCCTTTTTTCTGCACGTTTACTGAGCAAACGTTTAGGTTCTTGCTACCTTCAACTGGTCATAATAGGCTCTGCTGTTGCTATGGCTAGTTGCCTTCAAACATCCGCTATATAACCTCATGCATGTCATTGCATGGAGATTCGTTAAGGGAGCCGTTACGTCTGCCAATAACTGTTACAGCCAGCCCATTTCCATATAATACTCAGGCTAGATTATTTCAATCGAAACGTTCTTTTCTAAAGCACGTCATTTTCATAGAGCGACAATCAATCTCGACCAATCACTGCGAGGCAACCAGAGTCCGCAATAATGGCAAGTGCAAAATGCTGTAAAAGGCGCGTGGCGATGGGTTTGGAGCAGGCCTACCCCCTGACTCTGGGAATGAATAAGCATTCCTTAATTAGCCCATCGGGTTAAGTGCAAGCCTTAATGGGCCTTTCCCAAACTCCAGCGTGACATCGCTCTCCAAACATGGCCAAGAAGAAAGTTCCATTAGCAATATTAATACAAGCTTAGTTGATCATTTTCATTCAATTAACTTCTTTCAATTAAATAGATAGCTCGACAATGGAGGTGATAAAAGATGGGGAGGGACGGCTGATGACACGAACCAAACATTAGCGTGTTAGGGGTCAGCAGCGTTAAACTGACTGTAAATCCCACCGTTCAATTTGGAAAATGCATTTCCCCTGCTCCCCACTTCTTTAATGGGTCGTTTTAGCTGACAGGAGGCCTTTGAGCAGATCTTTTATGAAAATTCCTGACGTGCTCTTCGCGTATTTGCCACCTTTCACAGAACTCCAGTGTTTCTTCTGTCAAAGACTAACAGCCAAGAACAAAATTGCTTAATTACCGTTTCCTTGATAGAGAGTGGAGGGAAGGGAAGAGTCAAAATGAAAGGAGAGATGTGGAATGAGAAAAAGAGCCGAGGAGAATGAAGTTAATGCTGTTTTCTGCCTCGTTTCCTCTGGGTAAATAACCAATGGATGACCTCCATGACAGCGCTCCACCTTGTCTTTGCCTGCTCATGCATACATGCTTGATTTCCACTAACACACAAGCATTAGGCCACTATGCTTCAGTGCACAGAGAGGCTACACAGGAATAATCCCTAATGTTAATGTGTCACATATCATGGTTTCTGCACTTCGCTATCAATGGAAAAGAATGGAAGAAAACTTGAATTATCATCATGAGATTTCATGAAGAATATGTCAGTGTGTGTGAGAACAACACGCATTGATGACACAGCTACTGAAAAAACATTTAGATTTTAGGTTTATGTTTCCACTGCTTCTCATACAGTACGTGACTTCTTTGAATGACTATTCATATCTACTCTATGCCGAAATCCGACACCAATATTGGCCGACAGATGTGGTTAAGACATGTGCAAATGAAAAAAGCTATCACATCCAGTATGGTCTGTACTCCAGGTGTAGGACACGCATTTTCAGATTTATTAATATTTTCAATTTTGAGGTCAGGATTTGACTCTTGACATAGTCCAGTAATTCTGGATTATATTTATCCTGATCATCTCTGGTTTGAAACATACAACATTTTTATCTAAGTACGACTGCTACTATAACTGTTTGAATGTTTCAAGCAGCTTAAGGTAAAATAACTACACTCTTGTGAAATACAGTGGTTGGTAGCTCAGTGTTAAACACAGTTGGAGGCAGAGTTCAGGCAGTTTTTTGTCACTAAGGTTTGTTGTGCGACGGACTGCATGAGATGTGTGTAGTACAATCTGCAAGCTTTGTAAATGATACATGCACACTAGATGCATCAGTCAAGAGCGTTGGGGATTTGCATCTCCATTAGGCTATCTGCTTGAAAGTGCCTTTAAGGGCAGGGAGAGCAGTGATGAGGGAGAGAGCTCAAAACTGAATGAGAGAGTGACTGGTATGAACCAGAACAAAGCAGTGACTAAAATAAATAAAAATGTACTGAACTAAAACTGTATTCCCTCCCGCCCGATGTGATGTCGATCTTGATGTCTCGGGGGATGGTTTGGCAGTGATGTGTGGCCCCGGGGGTATTAGTGTGTTTATGTACAGTATGGAGAGGCCTGTGTCGTATGTTATATGTATTAATTAATTAATTCATTATTAGTTATTTTAAATTTGACCTCCTGTTGTTGTTGTTATTATTATTTGTATTATCAGTTTGTGGATACTGCTAGAAACTGTGAATTTCCCCTTAGGGATGAATAAAGTATCTATCTATCTATCTATCTATCTATTAGTTGTGATACAGGCTGATGTAAAAACAGATTTAAATGCAGGAAAATTGAAAATACAATGACTCACCAGTTTTAGTTGTGTGGAAGCTAAAAGAATCTCCTGGTTGCATCATTTAATAGACAAACACATAACAATCCAAATGTATAAACAAATATTTATTTGTATTAGAAACATGATAATACAACAACCCGCATTTTAGCCCTCATTATCAGTGTCTAATGATTAATGGAAAGATTTTACCTGTTTGACATTTCCTGATTTCTTGATCTCTTTTGTGTTACTTATTTGGTGATTTATTTTTATTTATTTTTTTAATGTAAGAATGACACGTAAGACCATCGACATATATAAAGATGGATGACATGACAGCTCTCCAAAGGTCATAAAGTCCGTTGCCTCCATGTTAGTGGATGGAAAAAGGGCCAAAAAACAAAGATGGTTTCTGTAGTTTGGTTTTAATTAGTTATTTGAAACTATAAAAAGGGGGTTTCTGGTCATGATTGACAGCTGAGCCCTGCTCGCAATTGCTCTTTAATACTGCGGCGCGAAACCGATGCCATCTTTTACCATTCTGGCTCAGAGTCATATCAGGAATATTTTGGCTTAATTTTTGTACAGCGAGAGAAGTGGAGATGCGATGTCCATCTTTTATTTGTGGATGGTGATGTCTGTAATTGTGATGGTTGGGGCAGGTAGATGTATGGAGCCATTAGGCTTAAAGAGAGTAAAAAGCACTTGACAGATGCTTCAGTGAAATCATTAAACATAGTTTCTTTTAACATTAATGAATTACTTCTTTAGAAAGGAGTAGAGAAAGAATGATCTGTTGTTTCTTTTCAGGATGACACATTATCTAATAAATGAGCGGAGATAACAACCAAACACAAAATTGCTAGTGGGACCAAAGCCAATGTGTCATTAGCAAATTCTTTCACCTTTTCAATATCCTTCATCTCCGGCAAGGGCCCGCTTATACATTTTATTAAGGTTCCTCAGAGACTTGCAGAAAGACACAATAGTCCCTTTCAATTAGCTGCATTAGGCTCACATCTTATGTCTTATTCTGCTTGCATTTAGCAGGAAATCCAATTCTCTATTTCATATGTGTATGTTTTAATTTTCATTTCCTCCAAATAACAGGCCAATTCTTTAAGGGAGACAAAACTGACTGAAATTTTACTTTCTTCTAACATCTGATATATTGTTTTAATAATTAATTTATAGTTTTTGTAAATAAGCGCAATACTGTAAGTCAGTTTCCATATATTAAACAGGCGTGGCGGTATCTTCTGTAACATCGCATAGCTCCCTCCTGGAAAAGATTCATATTCTCACAGGTTTGTGTATCCAGCGGTTTTACTACAATAAATATTGTTACAACTGCTATCCATTATTTAATGCAGTCAGTGACACCCAAATCCTAGATAGGTTCTCAAAGGTTGTACTTCACTGGGTGGAGGGAGTTATCTTAATGATAATGTTGGCAGTGTGTGCAAACATACAAGAGCATACAAGAGCTATTCCAAAACCAGATTCCACTGAGAACCCTAACCCTAAGTGTTAGTTTTGTTTAAGAGCCACAGTATATACTCCTTTGCATTTGACTTAGGATTTTATTGTTGTGCCTTTGTCCTTCACAGAGTCAGAAAGGGACACCGCTGTTGACACTAATGAAGGATCCATACATTCTAATCGCAGCTGGTAAGAAAATAATAGCAGCACAGCACATGTGAAAAAAACTCACTCACCCCACTCTGGAGAAGCATCTGTGTGATATTTCCTTTTCTAATGGTGCTACAAAAAGAGCAGGGAGTGAAACTGACTCACATCTTGGTTTTTTTGGACAAACACAAAGCCAACAATTGATTTGCTGGTTCCGGAGCAGGAATATGGCTTGAAATTGTGTTGTGAAGTCAGTGCTACATGTTAAAGAGGATTATCTATCCATCAGAAAAAACACATTGTTTTGTTTGTGTGTGTACAATATGTTTGTGTGTATTGTGTGTTTATAAATCAACACAGCTATTTTGTCACACACATAAGTCACTGCAGTGACAATCATCCAATTTCTGCCTCTTAACAGGCTAAGCCTGCGATGGGATCTCGTCCCAATTTGATGTGTCAATAATACTTCCAGTTAGACATCCAATGGGCACCCTAATTAAATGCCTGAACCACCTCAACTGGCTGAAACTTTGCAGAGTGGTTACAGATGTCAAATCGTTTGTAGAAAATGTGTCTGTGTGTTTGCAGAGGTTGTGGGTCTTTACGAAAGATTTATTTTGTGTTCATGTTCCTAGACTCCTGCTCCAGGCTGTACTTATGTTCGAGTTTGGCCTTTATAATGTCATTCAGCAACCGGAACGCCTTGAAAAATGTCCTAGTCTGTGTATGTCAGTGAGCCCTGTAGTTGTGTAATGGAAAGAGCATTTTTGGCTTAGTGGATTTCAGCACCCTTGACTAGCTCTGCTTTGGTGGTACTGCTAGGTGGAATGTAAATAAAGTCAATCACCACAGTGGGAAATTCCACCAGTGTATAGAAGTGGCATAATGATGGTTAAGTATCTCCACATATGGTGTACGGACCTTGCTAAGGGGGTTTTTATGTTATTTCACCATTACACCTGCGGGGTTTTGATGTTATTACACCACCTTTTGCAGACCCCACCACCCCTCTCCTTGCTCAAGTGGCTGGATCTGTCAAGACTGATCTCAGAATCTGGGATGACCTCATTGAGCCAGGTTTTAACCACAATGATGCAGCCATTCCTGAAGGCCCTCTCTGCCTCGCACTTGGCATGAAGCAAATCCATTTTATTCCAAAGGGAACTTACATGATGGCAGGGAAGAGAGAGTCTGAAGGGACGCCTCAACTGCTAACTTGTCTTGGATCTCTAATGGAAGGATAGGATAGGCTGGCTTCATGTTGCACAATGAGTTTAATAATCCTAGCAAGTCAGACTAAATCTACCTATTATCACAAAGCAATGCTAGATTTACCTGCAGATGATCTCATCCCTACTGCTCTCTGCATTTGAACAGAACTTTACTTTGTAGCAGAGAAAGGAGTTTCAAGAAATACCACCATTCTTGAGGTTAAATGTATGTGCCGTCATCTTATTTCACATTGATGACACTTCTCCTAATTCACACCAAACATAGTGATTTCATAGGTAGACCTGTCGCGATATGCGATAAATCAATTAATCGCACGATAAATAAAATGAGCTCGATAATTTTTTCGGCCGCGATAATTTCCATTTACATGCTTGTTTGTTTTCCCTCTCTCCTCTCTCTACCAAAGAGACTGAGACCACTCCGGCTCGTAACCCAGGCTCCACCATGGTGATGTTGGGTGTTTTGGCACCACACTGTTTCGTGGACAGGCAACACCCACTTGACTTTTTCTGCACTTTTCCGCAGTTTTACACACAAACGCCTTACTAACAGTCGCTCGTTCCTTGCCGCTCTGTGTTGCGCGCTGGGGTGGCTGCCTCGCTCTCCCCTCCCTTCTTCCCGTTGTTCCTCAACTCAAACATGAACCGGCTTGGGATTGAACCGGCTTGATATGCTGTTCTCTGAAGCCCCTCGTGTTGTTAATTTATCGGATAGACTCTCTGAGAGGGGCGATCTAGTACTAAACTATTCATAGTAAATGAGCGAAGTGTCAATATTGAAATAGGATCTGCTCATCTCTTTTGCACTTTTTGTTTACAAAGGTCATAACTGGCAGTTGCCTGTAGGAATGTACAACTCTTATGTCTGACCTAATTGTTAATATTTTTTGAACTGCAATTTTGTCTACATCTCATTTTATCATTGTTTTGGTTGTGTGTCGGTTTTTAATTTTATCAGTGCATTTTTGTTAACACAGACTGAGACTTCATTTTATTATGTTTGTTGTGTGTGTTTTTATTCCAGTGCATTTTTTGTTAAAGAACAGAGTCATTTTTTACTGTATGGTTGTTTTGTTCTAATTCTTGTGGATATGTCAAATTCCTCCAAGTTCCTATTACTATTTTAGACATAAAAGCTATTAATTTTAAAGTGTACCTGCATTATTATGCATTATCTAATATATAAGATTAAATGGCTCGAAGACAATATCATCATTTATCGCAATAATTTCTGGAAACAATTTATCTACAGTAGTCAATTTTTTATCGTGCCAGCTATCATATTACAATTTGTTATCGTGACAGGCCTATTCATAGGTGAACAAAATTACCAACTTTAAAATCTCCCTGCAGATGCTTACATCCATAACTTGCAACAAATATGATATTATTATATTGAAAGAAGAGAGTGAATGAAGAGAGGTAGCAGTGATTGCAAGAACAAAGCAGCTAATCAGAGAAATACAATTTATTTTCAGCAGCAGTTAGGTTCTAAAGCACAAATAAACACAGCCACACCTCCGCACAACCAGGAGGAAGCCACATTGACGGATTGCTGTGAATGCAGCTGCTTTATTCCATAACCTTTGTGTTTGTGTCTGTATGTAGCTCAGCCCCACCCTTGAACACACACACACACCTGCCGCTCTATATCTCCATGACACTACTAGTGAAGAAGGACAATGTAACCTGCTTGCTTGTGCTACATTTGAATGTTGATTTAGAATTTGTATGTCAATGTTATGAACAAAGCCCTGAACTCTCTTTAGAGGTCCTCACAAGTAAAGTAATACAAATGTATGTGGCAGGGAAATTGTATCTGAGGGGGTAAGCCTTCCTCACCACATCAATTACTGTGGCAACACAGTAACAAAGAGAGCAGGCCGTGTTTTTATATGTGTTTATGCGCAGGCAGTTTGGGGTTGGAAGAGTAACAAATGAGGACCAAGGACCAAGAACAAAAACAGACCATAATTGACACTGCATCCACTTATCCTCAATCTTCCTTCCCAGGTGCCATTTGTTTTGGAAATATGGCCATTGCCATGTTGGAGCCAACGCTGCCAATCTGGATGATGGAGACCATGTGTGCCAGGAAATGGCAGCTAGGTATTTACAAAGCCCTGCTCAGAACCTATAACATGTACTCACACAGAAATTATACATTATGCATGTGGTACATATCCCTACAGCACATGAATAATAAATGTGCTTTCTGTGACTAATTCTGCATTCCCAATTATGAGTTTCCGACATATAAATGGCGTTCCATGTAGAAAATGTCTACTTTCAACAAAGCAAATTTCTCTGATTAATGATAAAAACTATGAATAGATCAAACTAAGGCAATTTGTTACTAAACAAATATACAGATAAAGCAGGAATTTTGTCTGTTACTAGCATACTAAATAGTTATTGTCTCATTTACATATTATACATACACTATTACTTAGTGACTTGACAGTGCAAATTGTCACTCTTTCATCATGCTGGATATTTTCTATACAGAGGCTTCCTGAAGTCTTTGATGTCATGAGTTTGCTCCTTCAGTCCGCTGTATATGAAGTCTAGGTCAGATAAAAAGAATGAGAGGGGAACAGGATATTATGGTGTCATATGCTGGCAGGTGGAAAGCACAAGTCTTCATTACAGACAATAGAAGATGTACAGCAGCTCAGTGATGATGCACTGATAGAGATCTGCTTATCTTGGAAAGCCTGCCCACACCTTCAGTTTCTCATCTCTCTGTGTGTTTCTGTCTGTGGCCCAGGCGTCGCTTTCCTACCAGCGTCCATTTCCTACCTTATTGGAACCAACATCTTCGGCACATTGGCGCACAAGATGGGGAGGTAGGGAGGGAAATTATCCTTATCTTCTGTCTCTCTCTCCCACTGTGGATGTGATATCTGTTTCCGCTCCTCTAAATGAGTTTTCAGTGTTTTTAGTGTTTGTGAGGCTGGCTTTATTGAATCCTTGATGATACAGGGCAGCCATAATTTCTGTGTGCACGTCTTCTCTTGGAATAGTTTCAGGGTTTGTACAATCACAATGTTCTTTTGTTCTTGAGTACTGCCATAAACCTTTTTAGTATCATAAACCAATCCTCTTTAATGTACAATCGGGACTTTCAATTTCACAATATAACCTTATCAAAGTACTAGTATACTATTGCTTCTAATGCTGTTGACACTGCCAGTAGCATTTTACAGAACACAGAGGTATTACGTAAAAATTAAATATATATTTTATTTTAACTTTAGTATCACATAAAACATGCTACCTTTTTAAAGCAATTTCACATTTCGAAATATAATTTTTCTTTATCCATATTCCAACTGCCTTGATTTTCTTACAAAATTTACTTTGCCTATTCAAAATCTGGTTTTATGGGGCAGGGCCTAGAAGCATGATTTGTGACAGCACAAATAGTTTGGAAGTCAAAAGTGTAGTATGCCACTGGCTCCTAACCTTTTTCCTTAAGGGAAGTCCTTTTCTATCATTTAGTAAACTGATGTCCTGTTTAGGGAACTTTGTAGCAACCGATAATGTAATAATGGCCAATAATGTAATACGTGCCAATAATGTAATAATTTTGGCCATTTTAAATGTAATAAAGCCAATAACGTAATAACTTGCCAATAATGTAATAACTTTTTTGAGCCAATAAGGTAATAACATTTTGCCAATAATGTAATAAGTTATTACGTTATTGGCTCCTTTGAAATGTAATAACTGCCAGCCGATAATGTAGATAATACATAACCGCTGGGAGTTCCCTATTGTATTGCCTTGAATTCTTTCTTTCTTACCTATTTTTAGGGCCCCTCTTGACTGCGTTTTTGCCCCCTGAACATATACGAAAACTCAATTCTATTTGGCAAAGTTGTCAGGCCTGGTTGAAAAATTTTATATTCTATGCGTCGCTTTTGGGTCTGCCACTAGGTGGCGCGCTACTATTGAAAAAGTATTTTGACTTTTTGGCTTACTTAATACACTTCTGCATAGGTTTGTCGCACATTCAAAAACGCTTATATCCAGGCGTTCGCGTGCATGGAGCTGAATCTCCCCATATAGGCCGGGGCCCACTTTCCGCCTATAATTTTCTTCGTTAGAGCTGCGAAATGTCCTTAAACTTTACTTTTCATGTTCCCCTCCTACACGCTTTGTCGATTCGCCACGTAATTTTCACATAGCACCTGCGGGGATCATCCTGGCAAAAAAAAAGAAAAAAAATAAGAACGCTATAAAATTAAGACTTCCTGTAATTTTCGGCTCCAAAAAGTAAGCTGAGACCATTTCTCCACATTGGTATGTCTGATTGACACCAAGCCTTGCGGTCCACTAGTTCCCCATGTCTTCCTTACGGCATCGGGGGACAATTTCATCGCCAAGGTGGCGCTCTTTAAAATGAAAAACGTTTATATCTCGCATCGGCACGTGTGATTAAACAAAAGTATTGTACGATGATTGCCCATGGCTTCCCTTACGCTCACCTAAAAAGAAAAAAAATCCACCGCCACTGGGTTCGGCGCCCTCTGGTTGGCATGAAAACATCACTGTGTGGAGGCACCGTACATAGTTATGAATTATGAAATTCACAGGGCACGTGTAGACTGGGTGCCAGTAGCCTCACATTACCAAAAAATTTTGACACGTTTTCGTGTTTTGTAGCCCCCCTACAGGCCTTTTAAAAAAGCCAGGCCCTGCGCGCCACGTTCATCAATGTGCTACGGAAACTCCGGTAAGGGCACGTGTAAACGTGCCGAGACGTACAAAAAAGGCCTCTTGGGACCCATACCTCAAACCCCACGGGCAGTTGGCCATTTTCATTTTCACTTTTTGCCGTTGTATTGAACCGAAACCTCCTAGGGCAATTTATCGCTATCTACTTGGTCATACAGGGTCAAAAAAATTAGTGCTGATTAAAAGTTGTCGCCTATTTGCTGCATGTACATTAAAGGTGTGGTCCGTGGCGTTGGCATCAAAGTCAGCATTTTTTTTGACTTTTTCTGTCATTTTCTGTGATTTTTCGTGTTGTATTTGAACGAACCCTTAGGGAATTATAGGATCTGGCTTCAAAAATTGGTCAGTACAGCAAAAAAAAATTGCGTGCTGATTAAAAGTTTGTGCTGTTTGTGCACGTTACGTTGAAGGGCGTGTCCGTGGACGTTGCCGTCAAAGTTTGGCCAGGTTGAATTGGAATCCAAACTGCCTGATGCCATTTCTGGCATTTAAGGGCTTCTGTTTTAACTAACTCCTCCTACAGATTTTATCAGATTGACTTCAAATTCGATCACTGCCATCTAAACACATTGGTGATCAAAAGAAAAAAACGTGACGCGGCCGCAGCACACCCCAAGTTGCGTGGAGTGCGAGGGCCCGCCCAACGCTGCTTGCAGCTTTAATTGTCATTGTGATTGGTTGTTACCATTAGGGTTTGTATCAACACTATGCATCGATACAAATCACTGCTTTAAACGTTTATTTTACTCTATACGGGACCTTTCTGGGCATCAACGTTAGGGCAGCTCGCAGGGTTTTAAGGTTGGGGCTCTATAAAAACGTAGCGACTAGATCGCTGGCACAGCACTAAACCTAAGTGTGGTCAGGCTTTGCTATATGAACGTATAAAGTGCTGCTGTTTCTGTTCCGACTGAGGATGGGCTGAGCTACACACAACAAACAGTGCACCTTCGACACAAAATCTGCCAATGCGCACCTTCTGCAGGATTGTGCGGCGGTGCTTTAAATGGAACCCATGTGAAACAATCAGAAAATAACGTTTTATTTCATTTGATTCATTGCTTTGTTCTTGGTAACGGTGCTCCCTCATTTGCTGTCTACCTTGTTCTACTATTGCTGCCAACTTTGAATGGTGGAAACAGCTTTGAAAGATCCTGATCAGTATGCCTTTTAAGAATAACTTCATTAATAGCTATATTGCTGTATATCTTGATCTTCACTGGTCATGCAAGTGATGGATAAGTCATGTTTTACAAACCTCATTTATGTGTTACGTGAGGTTTGGTAACTGTCAAATTCTCTAAGCAGAAAGAAGATTAGAAGAAAGGTGAATAATGACATGTCTTTGAATATGTTTTATCGATCACAACCGACTAGGTAGTAGATTGTGTGAAGTGCTTGTTACTTTGACTATTAGCACCTGTGTCTCTGTTTATCCAGTATTTAAGGTATAGCTAACAGTTGGTTCTCTTTTGCCCTTCTTGCTCTTGATCCCTTATATCTATTTTACACCTATATCCTTTTCCCACAAACCCCCCTTCTGTTCTTTCACCATTTTACCTTTTACTTTCCTCCTGATTGTTTTCCACAATCTCCTTTATACTTCTTTACTCTCTTCCTTTTACTCATCTGTGTACTTCCTACACACTCTTATACCCCCAATCCTTTCTGTGTACGATCTCTTCCTCCTTTTATTCATGTACACCCCTTCCAATGTTGTCTCTCCCTGCCATCTCGTCCTCATCTTTCCCATCTTAATCTTTCCTATACCTATCCATCTTTTCTACCTCTCTTGCATCCTCTCTTCCTCTGCAATTCTTCCTTGTCCTCCCTCCTTCTCACTGTCTCTCTCCCTGCAGGGCAAAGTGGCCCAGACAGCTTGTATGTCAGCCTGCAAACATCTGTCCACATCACTAATGCAGATGCTACTGGACACAGAACTCAAACAAATCAGCATGGGGGCCATTCAGCAATTCAACTTAGATGTCATTCAGTGTGAATGTAAGTAAAAAAATAACCGTTATTTTCATTGAGGTTATCATTTAATATTTTATCTACAGGCCTTCCAATAAAAATGGAATCCTGTGCTCAGACTGACCAGTAAACTTTGTAAGACGAATGTAAGTTTCTTTTTTTAGTTAAAACATCATACAGCAGAGGCTAAAGGTAAGAGTGGAACACCAAACTACAGCATTAACAAACAAGCTGACTAACCCGACTATCAAATTGTGACACCAAGAACCAAATCAAATTACGAAATTCCCAAAGATTCCAACCCCTTATAGTGTTTAAAAGTGTCCAAGCTTAGTTTAAACGTGGTACAGCTGAAATTAAATTTAGTAAATGTAAAGGTATGCATGCATACATCACCACACTCAATGCCACATTGAAAGATTAGCCTGTGGCAATGTAGACTTGTAGCCACTTCCTATTTAAAATTTCTTCTTATTGTCATTTGCCCAATGAAGGTCAGGACCGAAACGTCATAAATAAATGCAGCATTGACCCGTGCGAACCATACAATTTGTACCGGCCTCAAAAATACAAAATTGGACCATTCAAGTGGCTAGCACGTTGTTCCTACTTCATAAAAATCCTAACTTTCAGTTGGTGAAGGTTAGGATTTTCCACAAACATTTTATTCCAAAAATGTGTTCAGTTTTAAAGTTTTGTTACAGTTTTAATTCAAACATTAATTTTAATTTTTTCACACATTCATTTTTTTTTTATAGTTAATAGTTATAGTAACAATGAAATTTAAAGTGTCTGGTTACTTTTATTGAGATGTATTTTAATATTTCTTACACTCAGCTTTTAGTTGAATAACTATAGACCACACTGCCTACTTTCTTTCAATGTGGTCTCAGAACAGTCCATTCGGAGGCACAGTTCTTGACTCTAGCTATGTGTACTGATTTCTGTCATTTTTAAGTAATTATTGTCTTTCTGTTGTTTCCTCTCAGTGTTTGCCAGTTCAGAGCCGGTCCCTGGCTTTCAAGGAGACACACTCCAGCTGGCTTTCATTGACCTACGACAGGTAAAACTGTCAGTGAGCAGTGGAGAGGAACTGAATTTACTTGATACTCTCTTTGATATTGTCATTCAATTACATGAATGTGCTTTCTAGAATTTTCCTGTAATAGTTCCTTCCATTATTCTACATCACAACTGTTACCAGTTGATTTATATTTAGTTACAAATTCCTT